GACAGTGACAGTGACAGTGTGACACCCCCGGGACCCCCCTGGTGACAGTGACAGTGACAGTGTGGGACCCCCATGGTGACAATGACAGTGTGGGACCTCCGGGACCCCCGTGGTGGCAGTGCCAGCCCCGGTGGTGGCAGTGCCGCTGTGCCACCCCCGGCTGTGTCCGTGCCGCCTGTCCCTCACTCCCGCAGGGGACACGGGGCAGGGGACAGGTGCCACCTGCGGGGTCCGGCAGGGGACAGGGACCGGGGGCAGGGACCGGGGACAGGGACCGGGGTGTCCTCCCCGCTGTCCCCTCCGGGGCCGGTGGTGGCCGCGGTGACAGCTCTGACCCTTCCCTCAGTGGGGACCGGGCCAGCGCCACGTGACGGGGCTGGGACACCGCGGTGACACCGCTGTGGTGACACCGCTGTGGTGGCACCGACCCCGGGATGTCAACCACCCCTCCAGGATGTCACCCACTGTCCCTGGGATGTCACCCACCGTCCCTGGGATGTCACCCACCTCCCCAGGATGTCACCCACCTCCCCCGGGGTGTCACCCACTGTCCCCGGGATGTCACCCACTGTCCCCGGGGTGACACCCACCGCCCCCCGAGTGTCACCCACCGCCCCCGGGATGTCACCCACCCCCCCCACGATGTCACCCACCACCCCCGGGGTGTCACCCACTGACCCACGATGTCACCCACCTCCCCGGGATGTCACCCACCCCCTGGGGATGTCACCCATGTCCCCCAGGATGTCACCAAACGCCCCCGGGATGTCACCCACCTCCCCACGATGTCACACACCTCCCCGGGATGTCACCCACCCTCCGGGTGTGCCCGTCCCCGGGGTGTCACCCACGGCCCCCCGGGTGTCACCCGCCGTCCCCGGGGTGTCACCCACCTCCCCGGGATGTCGCCCACGGCCCCCAGGGTGTCACCCACTGACCCACGATGTCACCCACCTCCCCCAGGGTGTCACCCACCTCCCTGGGATGTCACCCACCCTCGGGGCGTGCCCGTCCCCGGGATGTCACCCACCGCCCCCGGGATGTCACCCACCGCCCCCGGGATGTCACCCACCCTCGGGGCGTGCCCGTCCCCGCTCTGACGTCACCGCTGTCCCCCCGCAGGTGCCACCAGCGTGTCCCCAGCATGGCGGAGGCTCACCAGGCCGTGGCTTTCCAGTTCACCGTCACCCCCGAGGGCTTGGACTTCCAGCTGAGCCGCGAGGCCGTGCGCCAGCTCTACCTGGCCGCCGTCCACTCGTGGAAAAAGCGCTTGGTCCGCGCCAAGGTGGGCTCGGACAGCCGCCTGTCCCCTCCCCGCGACCCCCGGCGCGACCCCCGGCGCCGGGGTGACGCCGCTGTGCCCACAGAACAGCTTTCTGAGCGGGGTGTACCCCGCGTCACCCTCCAGCTGGATGGTGGTGGTGCTGGCCACCGCCGGCTCCTGCTACTGCCACGTGGATCCGTCCCTGGGGCTCATCGGGCGCATCCAGAGCTGGCTGCCCCACGGGTGAGCGTGGGGATGGGGCTGGGGGGTCACTGCAGGGGGGGGGGACAAGGCTGAGGTGTCACCTCCTGGACCCGGGACAGCCCCACGGTGTCACCTGCCGAGGGGGGACAGGGCACAGGTGTCACCTCCTGGACCCGGCACAGCCCCACGGTGTCACCTGCCGGGGGGGGACAGGGCACAGGTGTCACCATGCTGAGGGGGGACAGCCCCACGGTGTCACCTGCCGGGGGGGACAGGGCACAGGTGTCACCTCCTGGACCCGGCACAGCCCCACGGTGTCACCTGCCGGGGGGGGACAAGGCTGAGGTGTCACCTCCTGGACCCGGCACAGCCCCACGGTGTCACCTGCCGGGGGGGGACAAGGCTGAGGTGTCACCTCCTGGACCCGGGACAGCCCCACGGTGTCACCTGCCGGGGGGGGACAGGGCACAGGTGTCACCTCCTGGACCCGGGACAGCCCCACGGTGTCACCTGCCGGGGGGGGACAGGGCACAGGTGTCACCTCCTGGACCCGGGACAGCCCCACGGTGTCACCTGCCGGGGGGGGACAGGGCACAGGTGTCACCTCCTGGACCCGGGACAGCCCCACGGTGTCACCTGCCGGGGGGGGACAGGGCACAGGTGTCACCTCCTGGACCCGGGACAGCCCCACGGTGTCACCTGCCGGAGAGGGACAGCCCCGAGGTGTCACCACCCGGGACAGCCCCGAGATGTCTGGACCCGGGACAGCCCCAGGGTGTCCCCACGGTGTCACCACCCGGACCTGGGACATTCCCACGGTGTCCCTACGGTGTCCCCACGGTGTCCCCTCCCGGGACAGCCCCAGGGTGTCCCCACGGTGTCACCACCCGGACCTGGGACATTCCCACGGTGTCCCCACGGTGTCCCCACGGTGTCCCCTCCCGCCCCACGGGCACAGCCTTGTCCCACAGAGGGACCCCCAGAAGGGACAGGGGCGATGTGACAATTCCCTTTGGGGCGGCCCCCGCTTAGGGACATCCCCGGGGGGCTCCACGCGGGGACATTCCCTGGGAATTTCACCCTGGGGACAGCTTGGGGACATTCCCTGGGAATCCGAACCTGGGGACATTCCCTGGGAATCCCAGCACGAGGAGAGTTTGGGGACATTCCCTGGGAATCCCACCTCGGGGACAGTTTGGGGACATTCCCTGGGAATTCCAGCTCGGGGACAGTTTGGGGACATTCCCTGGGAATCCCGCCTTGGGGACAGTTTGGGGACATTCCCTGGGAATTCCAGCTCAGGGACAGTTTGGGGACATTCCCTGGGAATTCCAGCTCGGGGACAGTTTGGGGACATTCCCTGGGAATTCCAGCTCGGGGACAGTTTGGGGACATTCCCTGGGAATCCCGCCTTGGGGACAGTTTGGGGACATTCCCTGAGAATCCGACCCTGGGGACAGTTTGGGGACATTCCTTGGGAATTCCACTTTGGGAATATTCCCTGGGAACCCGACGCTGGGGATATTTTGGGGACATTCCCTGGAAATCCCGCCTTGGGGACATTTTGGGGACATTCCTTGGGAATCCGACCCTGGGGACAGTTTGGGGACATTCCCTGTGAATCCCACCCTGGGGACATTCCCTGGAATTCCCACCCGGGTCCATCTCCAGCGATCACCCCCTTGCTGTCCCCGCCACTCACTCCGTGTCCCCCTCTGTCTCCGCCTCTCACTCCATGTCCCCCCGCGTGTCCCCGCGTGTCCCTTGCTGTCCCTGCCTCTCACTTCGTGTCCCCCCCCCGTGTCCCCGCGTGTCCCCGCCCCTCCCTCCGTGTCCCCCGTGTG